ACTTACTTACTAAAACTATATATATATATATATATATATAAGACTTTTAATCTGATAAGCATGGTCCAACTTATTCCGGGGCATTTATGTTTCACAAACAAATCATTATTGTTCAAATTATTTATGTAATATGATTACTTTCAGAACACTTGGCCACCTGTAAGGGGAAGACGGCACATGCCGCAAACCTGAAAAGACAAAACGATCAAATGAATTCTTCCTTAAAGGCCTGGATGAGCACTCCGTCCAAAAAAACTGAGCACGAGGGTGATGATGACATAGATACAGACTTGATCATCACTGAAAACACAGGGTAAAATGACCCTTCATGCCATGATTTCTTTCTGAAAACCCGAGTTTGAATGACAATCAGTGTTTAAAGATGTACCCACACCTGCGAATAATACTCCATTGTGCCAAGTTGGAGGGTAACAAGTGCTGTCATGCCAAATTTATGCTGAAGTGATGCAGTATTAAAACGATGATTTTTGGTTTTATACCATTTAGCAATGTATTTTTTAGCTTTGTATTCCATCTTTTTTTACAGGGGTGTGGGCATTGTTTATCCGCAATACTGCATTGTGCCAAGTTGTAAAGTGCCAAGTGCTGTTGTGCCAAATTTAAGTTAAAGTGATGGAGTATTAAATTGATGATGTATGTGTTTTATTAGCAATGTATTTCTTAGCTTATGATGTTAATAAAGTTTATGGCATTTTAAATCAACTTTGATGAATTTTGTTTATTCATGGGGTCTGCTTGTTCCATGCAAAATGGGATTTGTGAGACATCTGAATCATTGTCAGAATCCGAGTGAGAACCAGAGGAGTCTGTTGAAAGATCGGTTCTTGCATTAAGTCTATCACACACTAAGTCCGCATCGACTTCACTTTCAGAAACCTCATCCGTGTCTACATGCAAATCTTTGTCAAAGCTGTCCATATTGTCCCATTCCCTAAAAGTGTGTCAAACTTAATGATTTACTGCAGGGAGGTGTCTTATCTAGACAATCAATATTCTACAAGCAAACTTTAGATACTGTGGAGATGTTGTTCAATCCAAATCATCATCACGATACAGACGTATTAGAATTTCACAATACTATTGAGTACCTTGGCGGTAGAAAAACGGCAAACTTCATAAGAGGACCTATGTTTATTGGTGCATCAGATGGGTACAAGGATCGGATCGCTACCAATGCTAAACTGAATCTTGGTGGCCCCTCAAGAAAGGCAAGAAAATCAATTGCCAGTGGGTATACAACTAAAGGTGGCATTATTTCCAGCTATTTGTCAACATTCTTAACATTAGCCAATGCTGTTGATTCACAAGTAGTGCCAATTGTTGACAACCAAGCTGTTAAGGTGTTCCCTACCTCCTATGCAATAGACGGTACAGCTTTAAAGGCAGGATTTGAAGTAGATGAGAAGACAAAGCTGGTCATTGGCGGTAAAGACGACTACAACATTATGTTTGTAAAGGCGAATCCTAATCCTTCGCCAGAATTTTTGAGGGATAATGTGGTGACAGAGGCAAATGTTGGCTTTCTGACATCAATGTGCAATAACCTCAGTATGCCGGTTGGAGTCGACTATTTCATGAAGGCGGGAAAGACTGGAGCGTTCTTGAGTAATCTGTTTGTACAGCACATCATGACAATCCAGACTTGTCAGGTCTGTGTGAAACAGATGAACACAATAGGATTACCTGTCCATTGTGAAAATGTCTGTCAATCTTGTTTGGACACCAAAGAAGTATGTGAAACATGTGCACTGAGTGGTCAGTCAAGTTATAAACCACCACTTCGTGCCTGCAAAGTCTGTATTGACATGGGGCAGCAGTGTGTGCGATGTGTTGTATTTGTTGTTACCACTGACTGTGAATCTGGCAACAAGGCAGCACTGGAAGACATCGAAGGAAAAGTTAATGCAGGAACTATTAATCCTATGTTATCAGAGCTGTGTGTATTGCCAGATTGTGTCCATGTTGGCAAATCACTTAAGTGTAGCTTCAGCAACTGGTATCTTTTGTTGAGTGGTGAGAGGAGCAACCTTTCAATTCTCCGCACACTGCGAGATGATGCAAACCCTGTCGTAAGGAAAACCCTGAGGCGGCTTCTGACACTGGATGCTGTTCAGAACAAGGATAGGATGGCTGTAGATGTTGTTCTGCATTTGACAAAGGACACTGTGCTTAACACCCTTCGTTCAATAGATCTGGTAGTCCACGACCTGGTTCCAGAACGGTACAGGCTGCAGGATGACAACAAACCTGGCATGTATCCCCACCCCATTGATGTTGAATATGACCAGCATGGCAGCATTCTTTTTCTTGACTACAACCCCATGAAGAAGACATCCAAGCTTTTGAAAGGAAGGCTGCATAATCCTGTCCAAGTTCAAGTCTTGAAAGATGACCTAAAAGATGCATGGAGTATCACTTTGGCGGGAGGAATCTGCTTTATCTGCCACAAAGATGAGCGAATTTCATTTGTGGAAGTACATGACAAGGTTGCCATTAGATTATCCAGCCTTGTATCTAAAGCATCTGTCTATGAGCACTTGGTTGCAATTGGACTGCCACACCATGGAACCATGGCCGACATGAAGAGAAGACTGGGGATGCACATTTCAAGGAAAGACACAGAATATAATGAATCAACTTTGGTGAAGGATGCCATTAATTTGGATGTTGCATTGAAACCGACTGCCATATGTTCTGGGGGAGATGCCCTTTTGTTCTGTGCATCAGACGCGGCAAAGGCTTTCTACCAAGTTTTACTAGTGAAAGATGGTGTTGGCCTACTTGGTACTGTTCAACCTTTGGTAGACTATGTCTTGTCATGCCAAGAGGTGGTAGATATATGCTACAATGTCGGTCACCTGTATGCTTCATACAAAGGCCAGAGAGCAGATGGTGGGGGTGTTGTGTCCATAGATCTCTCAAGTTTGCAAACAACCCATCTTGTTCAAAATACAAGTCTACAGTGCAAAAAAGTGTATGGTGTTGCTCCTTGGAAAGACTGCATTGTATTTACAGACACAGAATCTCATCAAGTAGTTCTGGATGATACAGAGCCCTCTGGTCCATTAGGTTGCTTCTTGAGAGCATACTTATCCTGGATAGCTGAGGCTGTACCCTTTAGAAATCGGCTGACTTTTGTTACCATCTCAGCACATTGTTCAGCTGAGTACTGAACTGGTGTTTCCTTTTTCAAGTGTACAGAGAAGGATTTGTACATCATCTGTAGATTTTCAAAGAAATTAATTGCTCCATTCAATGGCACAATCAGCTTCACAGCTCCAAACTGGGCATCAGTGACATATATGTTGCTGTTTTCTGTTGCAATTCCCATCAGCTGGCCAAATGAAGCAAAGGTAGAGGATCCCCTGCTATCTCCTTCCAAACCATTGCCCGCAAGCACTGAGATAGTTCCATTTGTCGTAACTGACTTCTTCAGTGGCAGTGTTCCCGCTCTATACTTGGTATTATCTTGCCTGACCGTCCTCTG